TTTTTAAACGGTAACGGTAACTCCCCAACACTGGTGACAACCTAATTCCTATGACATCATATATCGTGCATGCAGATCAAAGGCATCTGATCCATTCAGAAGGCATAAATAGGGGTGAGAATTGCAAACTTTTAGTCAGTTTATTCGCAGCACTCGTGTTCGCAGCATTCAAACATAAACCTGAGAAACATTTTGAAACAGTTGGATCATTTACACTGTTGTTTTATTAAGATTCCAACATGTCTCAGAGAAAACACCGCAAAAAACAACAAGCTTACACTGGCCCTCTGCTCGAGGGTCCATCCATCCAAAGGGCATTAGATGAAAGTAGGCAGGAAAACCAAAATCTAGACAACATGATTAAACAAACCCAAGCAGAGAAAATTCAGCTTGTAGAGAAGTGCAGACACATGGAGGCCCTAAATAACCAGTTGGAAGAAAGGCATAATGAATTTGTCAAGAACCAACGAGAAAAAGAAAATGAAAATAATCGAAGGCAGCCCAATGTGGATAATATAAATGAGGGCTGGAAAATAATGTTTAATCAAGCACAGGAGCAGATTTTAAACCTGATGACAAAAAACAAACACAACTGTGCTGAATTAAGACAAATGTCCCACCTGCTTGAAGAAAAAGAAGATATTAATCAGGAGCTCTATGGGAATCTCCAAGACACTGAGAAAAAGAACCAAGAGATGGAAGTAAAACTTGATGAAGCCCAGGAAAGAAATGAAGAGTTGCTTCAAGAGAAGAAACAACAGGGAAGAAAGGAGAAAAAAATGGAATGTAAACTTCAGAACATGAAGAAACAAAATAAAGTCTTGCAAGTAAAGCTTAATGAAGCACTGCACAGAAATGCAGAAATGTTTCACAATGAAAGTCTCATAAACCAGCAAGACGAAGAAAATAAAAATACACAAAACCTGCCGAATGTAGATATTGTAAATAAGGGCTGGGAAATAATCTTTATTGAAGATCCGCAGCATATTGTAAGCCTGATGACAACAAACAACCAGAACTGCGACCAGTTAAGAAAAATGTCCTACCAACTTCAACAAACAGAAGCTATTAATCAGGAGCTCTATGGGAATCTCAAAGACACTGAGAACAAGAATCTGCAGCTTCAAGTAAAACTTGATGAAGCCCTGGAGAAAAACAAAGAGTTTCTTCAGGAGAAACAGCAACAGGAAAAAATGCACAAAAAGACACAACTTATTCTCCAAGACTTAGAAAGGAAAAATCTACAACTACACGCATGTTATAATGAAATGAAGGAGAAAATCATGGAACTAGAAGGAGAAAGGGAAAAACTGATAAAACAATGCTCAGGCATGCAGTACATTTTCAATGCAATGCTGAGAAAGAACACAGTGCTTGAGGAACTTAATAACAACTTAAAATACAAAAATGATGAAATCCTGAGAAAGAACACAGTGCTCGAGGGACAGAATAAGAACTTAAACTACAAATACAGTGAAATCCTAAAAAAGAGCACAGTGCTCGAGGAACTTAATAACATCTTAAAATACAAAAACAAGAAAATGCTCAGGAAAAACACGGAACTCGAGGAAATTAATAAGAACTTAAAATACAAAAACAATGAAATGCTGAGAAAGAGCACAGTGCTCGAGGAACTTCATAACAACTTAAAATACAAAAACAAGAAAATGCTCAAGGAAAACACAGAGCTTGAGGAAATT